AGTGGAGCAAGGAATTTTGATTCATCAAGCATTGATAGTTTTACCAACTTCAAATTTTTCATGTTTGAGAACCAGCAACTGGGAGTCAGCTTTTAAGATGGAACCTTAAGAGAAAATAAGTGGCAAGCCAGATGTATTGACCTACTTTGAAGTTGCAAGAAGTTGGGCAACATTTTGGCAGTCTTCTGCATAGCAGTGGCAGTAGCGAGACTATTGAGGAAAACATAATTTATGAACTCTTGGAAGAATGCCGGTGGCCTCTCAGATTGAAGGTGGTCTTACATTCATTGCCTTCATGAATTCTCACCAGATTATAAGCCCCCAGAGATCCAGTTTAGAGAACATGCAGTCCCCTTAGATTCTACTAAATAGATCTGCAATTAAACAAAAATACCTTATCTATTAGAAACTAATATCTAGTTTAAGTCCTTGCAATCAGGAGCTTAATTAAAGATGTAATGTCCCAGCCTGCTCTCAACAACAAAACAATCATGCTTCCAGGAGAAATTAAAGGATGGAAGTTTTCCCTTTATTTTTGTTCAGCTGACATCCCAAAATTTGACATTTTCTTTCACTTTCAACCTCAGAGATAATGGTAAACAGGACAAAAAGACAGGGAGAATCTCCTTATCAGTGGCACAGACAGCAATAAAAACTTGATAGGTGTTTCTATCCTATCTAAACTAAGAAAAAATTAAAAATAAGATTTTCCTTTAGTTATGCTTTAATTGTGTCAGAGACCCAATCTAAACTGGCTGCGTAGAGTATGGTTGTTTCAACCAGAGTCAGCTGCCCAGCTATGAAATTCTATGCAGCGTTGCTTGGCAAATCATTGGTCTTGTTTGAGAGCCCATAAATTAGACTTGGCAGGGTGCACTCAGTATGGATCATCATAAAGTAGGCTGTGAGCCTGAAAGAAGGCATCCACATTGGACAAGGTTGGAACAGAAGCTTGGGTATTGGTTTAATAGGGATATAATGTTGGAGATGTGCTTATGCTCAGAGCCCAAAGTTGGAAATAAGGTTTGCAGCTATTAACAAAATTGGAAAAGGAACTGTGGTCCCCAAAGACGTGATACAATACATAGATTTTAGAGTATGGCTGCGACTGGAGCCTTTGCAGGAGCAGAGGTGGAGGGACGTGCTAAGAGGTCCGTCTAGGCAGCAGGCAGATGACATGGTCAGTAACCAAGTAAGATGTTTGTCTGGGAGTCAGGCAGAGACATGGTCACTAAATGGTCAAGGGGTCAATCTGGGTGTCAGGCAGAGGTATGGTCAGTAAACAGGCAAGAGGTCAATTCCGGTGGCAGGCAGAAGAGGTGGTCAATAACATACAGGTTTGGTGCAGGCAGCAGAGAGGTGATGAAAAAACATGCAAGGGTAAATTTACAGTGCAGGCAGATTAGATACATATTAAGGGAGCTAGTGAGGCACATGGGTAAGAAAACAGATCCTATAACAAGCACTGGAAACAGGGCCTCTGAGGTTTAAATTAGGCACCAATAGACACAGGGCCATTGGAAGGCAATGAGGGAGGAGAATGCTGGAGACATTGCTAAGCAGCAGAACACAGAGAGTCAGGGCTGTAGCCACACTGCCAGGACACAGGCCACAGAGGCTAATATGGAGCTAGGAGAAAGAGCTCAGGGTGTGACTGTTTTACCCAGGTAACAAGTCACTGAGTGGAAAAGTGGGCCAATCAGTATAGGAAGCAGCATAGAAACTTCAGGAAGCCATCTGGGCAAGGTAAGTCTTTGTAAAGGATTTCCGGTGAGACGAATCGTGAATAGAAATGCGCATGCGCAAAGAAACGGCCGGAGAAGAGTGGTCGGTTGTGCGCATGTGCGCGTAAATGTGCGATCGCGCACATGCACACGCACGGCAAAGATTGGAGCCAGACGGGCTATTTAAAGACTACCTCTGCCCATGATAGGTGCTGACTGGTCTTCAGATCCCCCGTGTCCTGCTTGTTCCTGTGTGATTCCTTTGTTGCTGACCCGGCTTGTTCCTTACCTGACTCTGATTGCTCTCCTGATTTATACTGGTTCCTGACTTCGGCTCTGCTCCTGACCTTGGCTTTGCTTCTGATTCTGTACCGTGCTGTCCGCCCGTTGATGACCCTGGCTATTCCTATGACACTGCTCCTGTCTCTTTCCCTAGCTAGCTGCATTGTTCTGATGCACGCCTGGCGATCTACAAAATCTGCTGGTTACTACTGTGCTTGAATCAGAAGATCATCAATCTTCCAAGGTCATCATCTGCAAGAGCTGCAAACAATATCTACTGGCGCTCTTGTCCCCCTGGTCCCTAGACTCCCTCTGTTCCAATTCCAGTGGGGTCAGGGCTAGTGACACAAGTGAGCCGACCTCGTCATTTCAGTCTCCCATCAGGTACGTGACAGTCTTTACAATACCAAGTGATAATTTCAACTGTATCTTTATTTCTTTTAAGGAGTGTTACTAAGAAAAAATTAGGATGGGTTTTATTTAATCATATTGAAGGCTTTTTTGACAGTTGTTCAACTGTAGTCTCTGTCCAAAACGTCTATCATGCAACAAATCAGATTCTCCGTGAAAGTCAATAGCATCTAAGCAATTGTACCTCAGGTACAGGCACTGGTTAGGGTATGCTCCTGACCAGTGGCACAGGCTATGTGTTAATAACATGGATTGTTTTGCCAGCTATGGGCTCATGATAAAATGAGCAGGCAAGAGTACACTCTTCCTACACAAAGTTTTGTATATGTAAGAATGAAATCTGATGACAATCACATGTCATAGTAACATGTAGACTGAAATCAGTATAGTTTAAACCAAAAGTCATTAAGGGCTTCATGTGTTCTATCCCACAGGATGCTAGACCAACAATGCTTATAGTAGATAGGACTTTAAATATACCCCCAATGGTTATACACATGAACAATATCAATCGTTAAAAAGAATACATCTTTATACATTTAAAAATATGTATTATTTCTTAAAAAAAAAATAGATGAATGTAACGCCAATCCTGTCATAAATCATACAAGAACTGTGGATTGTAGAGTCCTTGGAGATCATTAGCATAGGTTGACGCATTTTCACAGGATGTCACGCTTCCTTAGGACCTTGGATCTCCGCCAAATTGATTTATCACTAAGCATGTGTCTCAGATCTTATCAATTCCCTGTAACATGTTCTTGATCTTATGGGCCAGCAACCAAATGAAATGACAAGGGGGAACAAAGCCCACCAGCCTGTGGGGAGACCAACAGCAAGGGAAGTTAACACGATTATGTGATACTCAAAATAGAAAAGAGGAAACATATATATAAGTAGTTTCAGCTATGAACCTTTATAGTGTAAGTACCTGCTCAGCATAAAGGGAAGCTAGATATGGGTATTCACAGCAAGAGCATGGCCTCACACATGGCAGTCTAAACTTCTAGCAGTAATCATTGTGAGGCCTGGAAGGCCCCTCCAGCAGAACACAATAGTGCTGCAGGAGGGATTCCTTCATCAACATTGCCTGTGTTGATGGGGGAATCGAGCTATTTTCTTTCCTTCAACTTGTGGTGGAAGAAAAGAAAATCACTTAATTTATGGGCTTCTTAAGAATGTAGTCCAACAGCTTCAACACAAAGATATTAAACTCCTATTGTTCTTGTGCTCTTTGTTTTAGTAGGAACATTTAAGTGATTGCAATCTTTTGGCATGAGGTATACTGCTATAAAAGGCCACATACTAAACTAATTTTGTGATACATGCAACCCCTCAATCAATTGAAGTAAGTATACTGTATCTTTGGTGTAGGAAAGTAAACTAATTACATGAGGTCTTAAGATGCATAGATGGTTCAAATCTTGGCCGGTTCAGCAGGGACCAGCTGAGATTCAAACCATCTATGGACAGGTTTATTGTACCTAAATCGATTGTTATACTACTTGGGTACAACCAGCATGTCAGATTTTTATGGCTATAGCCATTAGCTATAATTGCTGTGTTCTCCAGGAAGAAAAAGAATGCATTCGTCCATTCACACAATCAAGGTGGATAGATGAATCAATCCTGCTGAGACACTGTATTCTGGCAAGTGGGGACTCTCCACTCAGTATGGCTACAGCCCCTGATCGAAATTCTCCAACAAGCACATTTGGCAGAAGTTGATTGTTAGAGTGGGAGCGGTCACACAAGAATTTACATTTTTATTCATCTATGGCCAGTTTATAGTAAGCATCAATTCATTTGCAGGCATTCTGCAATAAATGACCTATGCCAGACAATATAGCTCTACCAGGAGGGTGTTGTGAGTTTGTATGTGTTTTCACCACATGGCATGCTAGGATGATCAACAATATTATTATGATATGCTTCACCAATAATTTTTCCAATTTCAACATTATAACTCTGTGTAGCAGCCACCGAGATCTTTCCAAGTCCTGTTCTTTAAAATATCCTAATACATAGACTCATATTGTTTGGTGTTGCATCAATATTTTTGCCTTGACTGAGGATTTTATCTCAATGTTGTAGTTATTTTGCAAATGAGTTAGTGTCTTTGTTTTTTATAGATTTGGTGGACAAACACTTAAATGTTTTGATGGATTTGTAAAGGAGGAAAAGTCTTAGATTTGCATTTAAACACTTGCATAGCATGTCTCTTATCTTTTACTATTTCTTCTTTCCTTGTCCCTTCTATCCTTCTCCTTATCCATTTCATCACTCCCCTTTGTTTCTCCTAATTATTATATGCCCAGATCAGGATGTGAAATAAACAAAATCCTCACTTATTATCTTACTGGGGATTTGTCTCCATGATGTACATGTAGACTTCCATTGACATCTTAATATCACTATTTAACTAAGAAGTTTTATTAGTTCAGTATGTATCTAACTATATTAATGCATGTCAATACCTTTGCTCTATGATTGAATGTCTAACTTTTGCTTTGTATATACTTTTTTTGAAATTTTCAATAAAAAATATAATGCTCAAAAAAAAAAACAATAAAAACAATAGGGCATAGGCAGGGGAGGACTGACAACTCATGGGGCCCCTGGGCAATAAGAGATAATAGGGCCCCCTGTGTCTCCGCCTACACTCAAGCCAAAGCCACACCCAGACAACACCCCACCTACATATTGCTTCTTAGCTGCATAGAAAGGGCATTAAAAATCATTTAAAAAATAATGAAACAACGTCGTCGGGTCCCCCTTCCATTCATATCAAGCCCTTCGGGTCTGGTATGGGTTGTGAGGGGAACCCCCAACATTGTTTAAAAATTGGTGTGGGGTCCCCCCCCCAAGATTCATACCAGACCCTTATCCGAGCCCAGCAGGTCAGAAAAGGGGGGGGGTGAATGAGTATGGGGTACATGGTACCGCTACCCATTCACAAAAAAAAAGTGTAGTGTGAAAAAAGACAGGAGACAGTCTTTGACAAGTCCTTTATTAAAAGAAGAAAAATAAAAGAATGTCTGCTTAAGTAGATCCAACATCACTCATGAAGCCCGCTGCCGCTGCAGCTACCCAAAAGAAGAAAAAAAGTTCTTAAATATGTAAGGGGCGGGGGCCACCCAGTGACATCATGCATGTGGCCTCACCTCCTTATGACATAATTGACCCAGCATGCCCCGGTTGCTGATGCCACAAAGAGGTGGGGCCACACGCATGATGTTACTGGGTGGCCCCCACCCCTTACATATTTAAGAACTGTAAAGCCAGCAGAGAAGGCAGATGACTGGGAGCCAGTAGACGGAGCAGAGCTTTTTTTTTTTTTTTTTCTTTCTTTCTTTGGGTAGCTGCGGCTGTGGGCATCATGATTGAATGATTAACATTGGATCTACTTCGGGGGACATTCTTTTATTTTCCTTCTTTTAATAAAGGACTTGTCACAGACTGTCTCCTGTCTTTTTTCACACTACACTTTTTTTTTTGTGAATGGGTAGCGGTACCATGTACCCCATACTCATTCACATGTGGGGGGGCGTGATATTGGGGCCCCCTTCCAGATTCCAATAAGCCCCCCGCCTGCAGACCCCCACAACCACCGCCTAGGGTTGTGGGGAAAAGGCCCTTATCCCTATCAACATGGGGACAAGGTGCATTGAAGGGGAGCCCCCTCCACCCCAAAGCACCCCCCCATGTTGAGGGCATGTGGCCTGGTATGGTTCAGCTGGGCTGCATGCTCGGATAAGGGACTGGTATGGATTTTGGGGGGACCCCCACACCATTTTTTTTTTAATTTTGGTGTGGGGGTTCCTCTCAAAACCCATACCAGAGCCGAATGGCTTGCTATGGATGGAGGGGGGAACCCCACGCCGTTTTTTAATTATTTTTTTAATTGCCGGCAATTCTTTCTTTTACAGTCAGCTGTTAGTGGGGAACCCGCTGACAGCTGAAACATTAACTCTGCATGGTTTTCACTACTAAAATACCGCATGACTTGATCAAATAACTCATGCGGTATTTTGGTAGCGTTTTTTTTGTGAATTCAAACTTTTTTTTTTTTTTTTTTTTTAAATGCTAAGCGGTATTCTACCACATACTCGGATGCGGTAAGATACCGCTTAGTGACTTGTGCCCAGTGAGCCTCTCACTGGGCCCCCTACTGACCCCGGGCCCTCGGGCAATGCCCAAATGGCCGGTCTACCCCTGGGCATAGGGCATTCTCACCATGTTCATCAAACAAAGGGACCTCAAGAGCTCAACAAGGTCCCTAAAAACCCTGTAGTAAAGTAAATGGGTTTCAATTCTGTACGCATCACTTAATATAAAATTTTGGAACAAAAAGTTGAGGTTCTCAAAGGATAACGCCATCTTTTGCACCGTGTTACACCTATATTTCACACTCCCCCCCCCCCCCCGTGACAGCATGCAGGAGTTCTCCTTCCCTGCAGCAGCTATCACTTTTGAATTTGGTATGGCTGTTCCAAGATCTGCTAAGACTTCCTTTTCTACTTAAGATGATAGATTAATCATTTCAGTTTGTCTTGTTCTTATTGACAAATTGTTCCATTCCTAACTTTTTCTTTACTGATAAACTTATATTATCCTTATTCAGTGTGCCTAAAAAAGAGGGAAGTTTGGACACTGCCTCCAATGCGTTAGTGTTACGAACATTAACAATATGCGTGTTTTCCTTTCCCATTAATAGATTTGTGCCCCTACAATAATATCACCAACACCAAATGTGCCTCCAGTGCAATTAGTGGAATGTGCAGAGTTGCAAGTAAATTTAGCTTGAGTGCTAAAACCGACCTGTCTATCTGAAGAAGGATGTATTTTAGTGTCAGCCAAACATGTGAAACCCATTACCTTTATAATGCTCGTGTTCTTTATGTGTGGTCACATTTCCTTGTGTCTGTTGTCTCTGTGAAGAAAACGAACAAAAGAATAAGAGACGTTATTGGAAGCATTGCCATCTTCAGTAATCTGTTGATTAAACGCATTAAAAAATATGCTGCAGCAATCTTTTTTTGTCTTTCTTTAAAACTATCTTTTTTGGGATTCTCCAAGTATCCCTTCAAGTCAAAATCTATGGTACTATGTAAGGCAAATACAACATTCTGCATATATAGAGATTGTATTTCATCATCAATATTGTTTAACTTTTTTTATGTATTCACTGGACAATAAAGCTATTGTATTGCTGAATACAAGATTAGTTTCCGTGTAGTTTTAGCCTGTACTAATATTTTTCAAATTGGTAAATGTTTGCTTTCTGAGACCAAATGGATTTTAACTCACTTCTAGGTACCTCTCCAAATACTTCATGCGCCTAAAATTAACAGATTTATGTTCCTATAGGTTTTTTTAGCTAGAAGAGAATGTAACAATCTCCGACAGAGCAAAATAAGCATACTCTTTTGTGTAGTGAATATTTTAACATGTTTTATGTAATAGCTTGAACTTTTAACTGACATTCTTTGCAGGTGGATTTTGGTACTTAAAAAAAATAGCTTTTCTTTTTTTTGTGATGGCATTATTATTTTGAGATAATGGTACAAGAAAAATCACAAGTAATTACTTTAGGCTATATATTATGTTTATATATAGGCTTCAAAGGCCTCATGCACACAGAACATTTGAAAAATGTTCCTTCTCTTGGCAATAGAGTTTTGGCAGAAAAAATGCCTGATGCTTGTAAAAGCATAAATAGTGTTTAGGCGTGTTTACAGGCCTCAAGCACTTAGGCTTTAATTCATTTAATTTGCCAGAAAAATAATTTATTCTGTCCATTAAAATTAATTAACACTCAAGCGCTAAACGTGCTAAACGAAGGAACATTTAGATGCGTTTACATGTGTTTACATGCATCAAAACACTGCTACTCCTGGACGCACTGGCCTTGGGGTTTTTTCTCTACTTGTAAATGTCCCTGCCACTAAAAACTTCTAAAGGTCTGTAGGCTAGATTTACTAAAACTGAAGCACTCAAAATCTGGTGCATGGTAGCCAATCAGCTTCTAACTTCAGCTTGTTCAGTTAAGTTTTGGCAATAAAACCTGGAAGCCGATTGTTTTCTATGCAGAGCTGCACCAGATTTTGCAGCTTCCAGTTTTAGTAAATAAACCCCTTTGTGTGCAGGGACACATAAGAAAAAATAGATTGAGAGTTTGGAGGCAGAAAAAAAAAACCGCTTGACGCCCCTAAAAGTGGCTGCAAAAACGCCCTGGGTGCACAAGGCCATAATGTGAGAATCAGCAGCAATGCCCTTCCCTAATATAAATCAGGCAATCTAATACTCACATAAGTCATAATACTCCATAATTTATTCTTTTTTATCCAAGGAGCTTTTAAGGTTCATTATTTAAAATAAATCTTAAAATTACATAAACCTTTTTAAGGCCCATACAATTATATGTATCAGAAGTTCAGTATATTACAATAAAGCTTCAATAAGTATAAAGAGCAAAACATGCACTTGAAGGCTTCCCCATGAGATTAAGGGAAGCAACCTTCTCCAAACGACACCGAGAGCATTGCTGCTCTCCTCATATCCCATGACACTCATTCATAATCAGTTGCATACGCATCATGCTGTGGTGCATATCAGACCTGCCTGATAAGTCAGATGGTTCCCATCCATGATTCCAAGCCCCCCCCCACCCCATTGACTATAGGCAATCTTCCCATAGAGAGAGAGTCCTAGGTTAATTTTATGGTTGGTTGGTTATTCTTTGACAATGTAAGATACATTTTGTTTTACAATTATGCATCTCAAATTGTAAATTATTATTGTGTGTCATTAATACTAGTTTTCATGTAGAGTTGTAGATATGCCTCCTATATCACCCAATGAAGCAGATCAATGATCTAGGAAACTTATAGAGAATTATCCTAACTGCAGGAATCAGCCTCATCCAAATAAAACAAACCTTTTATGTATATGACTGTAAAGACATCTAAGTTTTCTGATTAGTGGGCATTTGAGGTTACATTTATGGAGATACTAATGTTATATACTGAATATTTGATGCCTATAATTATACATACTTTTAAAAAGTTTGTATTTTTAATATTTATTAATAATAAAAGATTTTTAATAATACATTTTATCGTACCTATACATCAGTTTGGAACATTAAAAGTCTCTTGTATAATTAAGAATTCTTTATGGTGTATTATAGTTTGATAGAGATGTGTTGCCTGGAGAAACCACCAGCCTAACACACTTACTGTTATAGTAACTCACAGAAGCCAACCGGGGGATACGTAATAGTGGCAGCTTGCTGCAAGAAGTTCTTCTAGTGCATTGCCTAAAATGTTGCTTGCCAATCCCCCGGATAAGCATTGCCAAGTTTCGGAAAGCAAGCCCGTTGCCCTGGATTTATCAATAGGTCTTGTTAGCCAGCTTTTCCTTGGCATGAGTGGAGAGATTTCAGGATAAATCTGTGCAGAATCACAAATATGTTTATGTAGCTTGACTGGTCTTTTGCTAATTTATATTCTGTTTTGTCATGCAAAGCCCGACATATGACAGTATACCCATTTTTGAAATAGTGTTTCTTTATACCAAGTTTGAAAAACATTTGTGAATCTTGGTTTCTATAGTCTATTTGTGGTTTCTGAATTAACTACTGGTAAATAGAAGGGGCTGATCTCCTCAAGGGAGCAATTTGGAGCTACAAATGTGATATCAGATTCTTTATGAAGGCTCAGGCAATTCTGTTGTTTCTGTGCTAATGTCATAAAAATATGCTTTAAAGATTTCCTGGTGGGAATTGGTATCCATAAAAAGTTCAGCAAACATTACATTCTTACTGTTGTTGGAACTAGAAATTCAACACATGATTATAACTGGAAAATAAACTTGTATAAGGTGGAGCAAAAAAGAAAGCACTTGGTTATCTCCCTCAATTTAAAGTGGTTGTAGACCTCAGACATGAAATCTGAACAAAGTACATATTTCTATAGTGTTTACTTGACTCTCTACAAAGTGCTAAGTGCCATTTCTCTCTGCAGTCTAGTTCCTCTGTTATCAGAATGAATCACTTCTGCCAAATTTTCCTGACACCAAGAGATAAAAAGGTGACAGGGGAGGGAGCTCCAGCTGATTGACAGCCTCAGCTCTGTTCCTGTGTGCTATGTGAAAAAGAGTGTGTCCCTTCCATCTAATCTGCTCTTACCCCCTGCTATGTGAGCTTGTGAAAAGTTCTTTTCATCTCTGAGTGTTACAAGGTTGTACAGCAGGACTCAAAATTTCAAGTCCTGAGTCACTAGCCAGGCCTTAAGAGTTACTCGCTACCAGTTGCCCCACCAAACCCCTACCCTGCCCCGCCTCTAATTCCACTTCTAAACACGCCCTCATAAATTATCTCATGAAATGACACTGGTAAATACTCCCCTCATTACATCAGGGTCCCCAGGGACCCCCCACATTACATCAGGGTCCCCAGAGTCCCCTCACATTACATCAGGGTCCTCAGAGTCCCCTCACATTACATCAGGGTCCTCAGAGTCCCCTCACATAACATCAGGGTCCCCAGAGTCCCCCCACATTACATCAAGGTCCCCAGAGTCTGCTTACATTACATCAGGGTTCCCAGAGCACCCCCACATTACATCAGGGCCCCCGAGTCCCGCCACTTTACATTATGGTCCCCCACATTACATTACATTGCAGAACATTACCTTCTCTCACACAGCAGGGTACTGCACTCTAGGCAGAGAGCACAGCACACACTCCCCCTCCCTTTGCTTTCACTTTGCTCAGCGTATTCATCAGTCTGAATGAGCTCCCAGTGCCATTATACAATGCAGTTTGGTATCAGGAGCTTGTTCTTATCTCACAGCCTTTCCGTGCCATGATGCCATGGCACCCCTGAAGACCTCTGGTGGCACCCTGGTTGAGAGGACATAGAGTGATGGAACCGGCACTGAGTCCCGAGCCTGCTCAGTAAGAAGGCCCTGTGGTATACACTAGCCTCCATATTATTTTCACTCACCAAATACAAGCAGGCGAGTGGTAACTTTGAGGCCTTATGTACAGGACTAATAGCTGCAAATAAACAGGTACAACTTATGTAGGATTTGTCTCACCTTTGTGTATCACCTGAGGCCAGTTCCTTCACTGGTGTAAGAGTTTACAATCACTTTGAGGAACACTTGAAGTGTGTTTATTCAAAATAAATTATTTGATAAAACACAGAGCTTTTTTTCTAAAGTAACATGATTCAAGACATATTATTGCATGTCTAAACATATACAGTAGAAAGGAATATACAGACCTTATATTCCCTGGTAGAGTCAACTCAGTTCATTGTCTTGTGAATCAACAAAGGGAAGTTTATA